ATTATCATTATTGTAAATTGTGTACTTACTCTCTGTTATCTAAATCGACTTAGTTATTATCAATATTTAAAAAACATCCAACTCAGCAGAAGCAATATGGGTTAGTTTTAGGCTAAACACAGCTGTACTAAAAAGATGGGCCGATACAGAGAATGTTAATAGACAAAGGTTGATGAAGATGGCAAAAAGTGCCCCGAAAACGTCAGTTGGGGACTGATATGATCGTCAATTTCGAGGTAAGCCAAACTCATGTGCATCTGGCATGCACAGTTTTAGCTTTTCCAACCCACTCAATAGGGTGCACGCCCAGGAAGTCGAATGTTATTCAAACCTGGTTCGGTAGTAACCCGATGCTCTGACTCTTTACTTGACACTTGAATAATAACAAAATCATTCTGGCCAAAGGCGTCTTCGAATCTCGATTTCTCGGCCAAATCTTTTGTTATAGCCAGGGGCACAACTTGCGCCAGGCTGAATATGGCCACCCGTGGTATTCGGAAAGTCCTTGCCAATATCTTGGTCACAAGTTCCGGATATCCTGGAGTCATAGAATGACACGATCAACAATGTCCAGGAAGCAACATATCATGAAGCAACAACTCTCTTTGGAATATAGATCGCAGACGCATCCGGTTAGAAATTCCCATTTCATCTTTGGCCACATGGTCTGCTATTCACTAAGCACATTTCCTAATGTATATAGCTACAAAAGACTTCGTTATCTTCATCAAGTAAAGTATGTCTGTCCCCACTTTAGAGCTCCGAATTTGTAAAATCGTTGAATTCATCTAATAGTTCTACTCACCATGTGACGCTTTGCCTACTTACATAAGGACCGATAATGTAACACCCATATTAACATTGGTTCTATTATACTTTCTGTCACAGTCAAGGTCTGCGAATCCGCTCTAAATTTGGCTTATATAGCAATACAAAAAGCATCTTCCCCTCACAGCGCATGTCATAGAGCTAGCTGTTTTTTCCACGGGTAGAGCTCCTATTACTTCAGAGCATAAAAGGGAGTTTGGATCTAAGGACGGCAAAACGGCGGTATCAAAATAGGCGTAGAAAATGAGCTAGCAAAACTCACCACATAGACTGATGATCTACCCTGATTATGGCTCAAAGATTCTTCATTATAACCATTCAATTAGGGACTTGCAAGAAAAGACCACCGAGATAGATAACATGAAGGCGAAGTTATATCATCTTTTGGCTCCAAACCAGAACGAAATAAGTGGAAAGCATCGCGTAGATTTCATGCTAAAAATCGTCTATGACGAAAGTAAATTGGTGCAGCAGCTACGCCCAAGACCTGCATCTTACCCACCAAGTATAGGACACGGTAAGTATTATACATTAAAATGTTGGATTTCATCCTAAATGAACGAAACGTTTGAGAATCTTAACTGAGTTTTTTTAATGAATTTCGTTTACGGCATTATCTTTAAAATTATGGCCGATTTACTCCACGTGGAAATTCAAGACTCACTGGATTATCCAAGATCTAAATCTTACTGGCGAATGAGCCGGCTGACTGTGAAATGTATGACGTCACATTAGGTTTATGCAAAGTAAGTAAAGTTATATGGACTGAAATATCGAAAGTTGCAGCAATTAAAAAAAATCACAATTGCGGAATGCTTACCTGAGTTAAAAATACTCGATGAAACTTCCCGAGATAAAGGAAAAGTATCAATACAGCATCTGGCCTTTAGTCGACATCGGATTAGCACCAATATTATTACATCAACCAGATTCCAAGCTATTCAAGAATTTTTATGTAGGGAAACAGTTTTAATCTACCCCGGAACATCATTTTGGACAAAAGAAATATGTAAAAGATCTAATGATATCAATTGGATTGATAAACTCAATAAGTTTGTCAATCAAATCATGAGCTACTTGAAAGGTACTTATTATAAAATGATCTAGTTTTTAAAACAGCCCAGTCCATTTGTTTAGAGATGATTGGATTCACTGGTTTTGCTAGGGATAAAATAATGATAAAGCCAGATTCTAAAAAATAAACTTTAGTTACATATTTATGGGCTTTTATGAAATTGGGACAAAGTAATAATATCAGATTAAAAAGGTTAACTTCAATAGATTCCACGATGGCTATTCATCTTGATTAGACATAAACCTGAATTATTTATCACCCTTACCTATTTAGTGCAGAACACGATTGTGTTTATTATCTCGCAAAATGGAGACAATTCCTCCCAAGCCTAATCGAAGTTATGAAGTCCAGTATGTTGTGGCTTGCATTTTGGCCTCAGTCTCCTTTCGCTGTATACAAGATTTCTTACTTTTTTTCGTCATTTGTATATTATTTGCATTCACCCTATTTCAATCTAAGGTATGAAGACCAAGGTGGTGTGGCATTTTGTGTGGTCGCAGTCTCCTTTCATTGTATAGAGGTTGTGTGACCTTGTTTTCGCAGAATGGTCATATTGGTAAGACTTAGAGGAACGCACCTAT